TTGCAGCAGGAGCTCGCGTCAAATTTTAGATTGAGTCTCGTCGATTTTCCTGGCGGCCCCGCCAGTCGTGGAGCAAACGATGACATACATATAAATTTTCGGAGCCCCGCGTGGATTTCACGGATCGGCGCTGGAGCCCCCTGGCGACGCCTCTGGCGCCGCCCCTGGCGCGCTCTGCGCTCTAGGGAGGGGTGCCCAACGCCGATCCGAGAAACCCGCGCGGACTTCCGAGTTTTTACGTAGATGTCATGGTTTGTTCCTCTCGTTCTTCATCCCCTGACAACCCTCCACTGCGAAGAAATCAAAACGGCCATTGCTTGCTCATTTTCTGCCTCCTGGGGGGCCATCATTGGGCCCCAGGGTTTTCGAAAAAGGACCAACGCCCATCCAGGAAATCCGGCTCCCGCTTCGCGCGCCAGGTCGGACGGGGCTGGGACGAGGAAAAGCTGCGTTCCAGAGCGTCCCGGAACGCTTTGAGAAGGCCGTGGCGCCCGAGACATCGTGCAGAGCCGCCAGATTTTAGAGATTCTCGATTTATCCTTACCCGATGTAATCCTCGTCCTGGCTTCGTCTTACTTGGGACCCCGAGGATGTCAGGAACACACCGTCCCACCGTCCCTCTGCCCACCGTCCCTCTGCCCACCTCTTAGAGATAAATTCTCGATTTATCCTTGCCCGATGTTATCCTCTTCTTGGCTTCGTCTTACGCCTCCCCAGCACAGAGGCGCCGGGGCGCCCCCCCCTCAGGGAGCGCTCCCCGCGCACCTGCGCGTACCTGGAGCCTGCGCCCGAACGGCGCGGCGCGGCGCCCAGGCGAAAAACAGATGATGATGATGATGATGATGATGATGATGATGATGATGATGATGATGATGATGACGGTGATGATGATGATGATGATGATGATGATGATGATGATGATGATGATGATGATGATGATGATGATGATACTGATGATACTGATGATGATTATGATGACGATGATGATGATGATGATGATGATGGTGATGGTGATGGTGATGGTGATGGTGATGGTGATGGTGGTGATGATTTTTGTGATGTTGATGATGATTATGATTATGATGAACATGTTGATGGTAATGGTGATGATGAGGGGGATGATTATGACGATGGTGATGACGACGACGGTGACGACAGCGATGATACTGATGATGACGATGACGATATTGATGACGACGATGACGATGACGATGACGACCGGGATGACGATGCTGTTGATGACGGTAATGGCGAGATTCATGAAACGGATGATAGCCATAATGAGAGTGATTGTGGCGATGTCGATGATGAGGGTGATGGCGATAATGATGAAAGTGATGATGATGATGATGATGAGGATGATGATGATGATGATGATGATGATGATGATGATGATGTGGATCATGGTCATGCGCATGATCATGATGATGCCGCTGACGATGGGAAAGACGAGGATTATGCTGATATTGATGATGATATCGACGATGACGATGACGATGACCACGATGACAATGATGATGCTGATGATGAAGATGATGGTGAGTATGACGGTGATGATGAAGATGATGATGATGATGATGATGATGATGATGATGATAATGATGATGATTGCGATGATGATGACGCCCAGGATTGATGACGATAATGATGATGGTGGTGATGGTGATGATGACAATGCTAATGCCGATTACGATGACGATTACGATGACGATGTTGATGATGACGATAATGATGCTGATCATGATCATGATCATGATCATGATGATGCCGAGGACAAGGACGAGGGCGAGGACGAGCACGATGACGAGGACGATCCGTATCACGAGGACGACGACGAGCACAATAATGATGATGCTGCTGATGATGATGATGTCAATGTCGACGGCACTGACGATGCTGATGACGATGCTGATGGCACCAATGATGAGGATGATGCTGATGCTGATGATGATGATGATGACGATGCTGATGACGATGGTGATGACGATGATGATGATGATGATGATGATGATGATGTTGATGACGATGGCGATGACGATGATGATGTTGATGAACATCATGATGGCAATGATGCGGACGATGTCGATGACGATGTTGATGACGCTGATGACCATGACGATCACGGTAATCATGACTATGATGATGATGTCGATGATTATGATGATGGTGATGATGATGATTACGAGGAAGATGTAGATGACGATGATGAGAATGGCGGGTGATGGTGTTGCCGAAATTTACAGTGTATATATATATGTTTATTGATGATGACGATTATGATGGTGATGATGACGATAATGATGACGATAACGATAATGATGATGATGATGATGATGATGATGATGATGATGATGATGATGATGATGATGTTGATGCTGATGCTGATGCTGATGCTGATGCTGATGCTGATGCTGAAGCTGTTGCTGTTGCTGTTGCTGATGATGGTGGCGATGATGATGATGATGCTGTTGATGACGATGATGGTGACGATTTTAATGACGGTGCCGACCATGATGATAATGATGATGATCATGAGGAGGAAGAGGATGTGGACGAGCATGACGATGACGATGACGATGACGATGATGACGACGGCGATGAGGAGGAGGCGAGCACAAGGAGGAGAAGGAGGAGGAGGACGAGAAGGAGGTCGAGGAGCAGGAGGGAAGAGGAAGAGGAGGAGGAGGAAGAACACTAGGGAGGAGGAAGGAGGAGAAAGAAGAAGGATGAGCAGCCATGGCTGTGCCCCAGTTTGGAAGGGGAGGCGACACGTCCCTGTGGCAGCGGAGCCTCATCTAGCTACGCGTGAGATCTGTGCCTCCCAGGTGTGGTCCGCGCAGATGCCGGCGCGCCGTTTGTTCCGCTGCGCGGCCTCCAGGGCGAGCCTCGCCTCGGGCGCAATGTCTGCCGTGGGTTGCCGTGGTGCCGGCCTCGTCTGCAGCAGGACCGAGGTGTAAGATCGTTGTCGGTTCGGGGAGGGTGTTCTGATATTTTCCGTGTTTGTTGGATGCTGTTGTGCATCCCGGGGAGGTTGCCCTTGGACGTTCTGTGTGTTCTGGCCAGCGGAGTGTCACATGTTCTTGAAGGATGTTCTTTTGTCTCAGGTCCGACTGTATTTGGGCGCCTTGGAAATCAACGGCGCGGCGACAGATGGGGTCGGAGGATCGTGCTTCATCCCCGATGCATCGCCGATGCGGCTCGATGTGGAGGCCGAGTCTAAGTCGACAACGCAAAGGCGCTCTCGTCGGAGTGACTTGCGGTGCGGTTGGAGCTGGCTGGGGCTCTGAGGTGGCCCAGCACTAGCTCCGAGGAGCAGGAGGATCAAACAGTGGCGAAGCGTTCTGGCTCGCCTATAGGCCCACGAAAGAATGTTCTAAGAACCTTTTGTGGTCTAGATGTTCTTAGAACACTTCTGGCTAATACTGTTTTGATTTAACACATCGGGGTCATGTTCTAAGAGCATTGTTATTCATATACGAACAGTTTGGGGTTGTAAGAACAAGTCGTGGTAGGCCTGTTGGAATGCCAGGACGGTCGGCCCCTGCTCAATCGGAGGGCGAGGTTCAAGGCTTGTTTTGCCTAGCTCCGTCTCCGGCGGCCGTGCTCGGGCAGCGGAGAATCGTCAGCAAAGGATCCCGGGTGAAAAGTTGCACCAGATGGACCTTGGGATTACCAGTTTGAAGCATCTCCTGATCTATTTGTTTGGCATGACCTTACTTCGGTGCCGATATTACAGATTCCCTCAGTTTCTGAGGGCCCATCCCTGAGATAGTCGCCGCTTTTGGCTTGCCGATCTTAGGGATAGGGAGAAGTTCGAGTCTGGTTATGGGAGGGGTCAGGGGACCGATTTCAAGCGGATTTGCAGCTATCTCCTCTTGAACCCTAAATCGATTACGCGTACGGGTGACCTTGTCGGACCGAATTATGGTGCGGGCCTATCACGGGGCCCTCCGATCGCCGAAGGCGATGCGTGAGTGCGCCCTTCTCTCCCTCCTCCGGTTTCTGCGGCAGCCCCTCGGCTTTTCCCCTCTTCGTGCATGCGGGTTAATTCGCATCACCGTAGCCCGGTCTGCCTGGACGCGCGTGCGGACTGCCTCTGCCGCGCTGCGACGCAGCAGTTCTACGAGTTGTACCCTTCCGGCTGGCCCCCTGGGCCTCCAAGACAGCCGGAGAGGCCCCAAAGAGGGCTTCAGGACAGGCCCCGGAACCATCTTCGGCCATATTATAAATGCATGTCGCAGCATACGCCCCCGAAGCCTCTTGGACAAGTCACACGCCGATCCATGGAAACGCCCAGGAGCGCCCAGAACGCAAGTGCCTGGGCTCCGTGGAAGTTTCATACGATTCGACGATATTTAGTTCAATACAGAGAAGTCGGAGGAAGTGTCGCCCAGTTCCTGGGGATGCCACCCCGTTTGCCTCCTCCTCCTCCTCCTCAACCTCCTCCCCTTCCTCCTCCTCCTCCTCCTCCTCCTCCTCCTCCTCCTCCTCCTCCTCCTCCTCCTCCTCCATTAGTTTCGGCTCGCGAGGTGTGCCCCCTGGGTGCCTGCCAGCGCAGGCGAGGGCCCCCCCGCGCGCACCGAGATCAGCGCTTCGGCACGACGCCGCCTCGGGAGGCGGCAAGCCATCATCGAGCGCGACCCCGCCGAGCTGCGGATCGCGCGCTGCTGCAGTGCGCGGCAGCGAGGCTCGACAAACACCACGGCTCCTCCTCGGGGACGATGGTGCCACAACCTGATGAGGCCAAAGTTCGTGTCCCACGTGGACCGCGTGAGCCAACGTGGGCTTGCCCTGGATGCGGTACGAGTGCGAACTGGGCATGCTGTATCGTATGCCGCTGCGGGAGATCGGCCCCCTTCTCCGTGGTGCAGGGGACGCGGAAAGAAGATAAGAAAGCCAGAGATGCAGATGGATCGTCGAACCCTCGCTCGCCATCCAAGTCCGTTGGAGGAGCAGGACTCAAGGCATCGATGGCGCCGTGGTCCAAAGAAACCAAGGAGATGGCGAATACCCAGAACCAGTGCAAGCAACTCCTGGCCGAGAACAAAAAGCTCAAGAAGGCACAAAGCCAACAAGCTGCTGGCAACATGGGGATCGACGAAGATGAGGACGGGGACAACGTCGCGGCGTCCTCGACCGAGGCCCAGCGCAAGGAGCTCCAGGCCAAGATCTCCAAGTACGAGCAGTAGATCAAAATGTACAAGGATGACGGCGAGGACGAGATTGTGCGCGACCTTCAGAAGAGGCTGGAGGCGACCAAGCTGCAGCTCCAGTCAATGTGCACACCTGCCATTGTTCACTAGCAGTGCACGCAGAAGCTCGAGAGGGTCCAGAGGCAGATCAGCGCAGCCAAGTATGACCTGCAGTCGTTTCAGCAGAAGTTGGAACAAGGCTCAAAACATTTGGATGAGAAGAAGGACTTCCTCGAAGGCAAGCTGGCCGAGGAAAAGTTGCTCAAGAAGGAGGTGGCAGGACATGCGGCAAAGCGCAGCGGGAAGACTGAGAATGACGTGGAATTGCCCTCTGGCATACTGTAACTTGACCCAGACAACGCCCAGCCCAGAGAAGGTCCGAACTTGCTGCAGTTCTACATCACCTTCGCGTCTAATCCCCTCCGTGCCAAGATGCAGGACGTATGCAGGCAGAACATAGAGGCGAAGCTGGCCAAGGCAAAGTCTACTGTACCTCCTCATGTTAGTGAGCCTGGTGGACATGCGGGTGGTGGCGCAACGGCAGGAAGCAACGGAGGTGCTGCTGAAGGAGCAAGCCGCGGCGACGCCCAGAGGGCCACTGGATTTTTTTGGGAGAAAGACGACGTTGAAGAACTGCACCGTGCCATGCACAAGGAATCGAAGGAAGGTGCACCACTGCCAGTCAGCCCCGAGCAGCTCGCAGAAATGGTTACCAACATCCAGAACACGAAGCGCCGCAAGCTCGACTGTGGAGGAGCGAGGAGCGGCAAAGACAGGAGGTGGAGTTTAGCACCGACCTGGCGAGGCGCCGTATCCCTGTTGCCACGGGCTTGGATGGTAGACGCAGCGACTCTGCCGAAGCAACCAAGCCAGGAGAGATCGACAGGGCGTGTTTCGCGGGGGCGTACAATGCGAACCAAGGGAAGCAGACGTTGAAGAAAAGATTAAGCTGCACCAGGTCCCTCACCGCACTTGCACAAGTGATCGGGCATCACGACTGGGAGTGTGAAGCCTTGAGCCCTTGGGCAAGCAGCAATATGTGGAACGTTATGTTCGTGCGTGGGGCCCCTACTTCAGGGGGGCAGCCGTCGGCAGGGCTGGCGATCTTCGCGCGTGAAGGCGTGGGGCTACGCGGGCCGACCTACCCTGCGGACAGTCCTGCTGCCCGGCGATCAAGTATGAATGAAGCCATCCCCTTTGGAAGCGAACTGGTGCCCTATCGAGCGCAACGGGCAGTCGGCGAAGTTCCTGGATGGCCGCCGATGAACATTTTCAATATTGATCTGCCCACAGGGGGAGGCATGTCTTTGAAGAACGCAAAGATCCCCATGAATGTTGGTCTGGCCATGGCGGGTCAGCAGCGCCCCTCAATTGTGGGCGGGGGTTGGAACATGACAGCGGCAGATGTGGAGGCATCTTCCTTCACCATTCATGCGCAGGTGTCCTTGCTGGCACCGGAATCTATTACTTGCAGGGCGGCGACGGCTAACTCGATGATCGATGTCTTCGCACTCTCTTCGGGTGCGATGAGGCTGGTGAAGGCAGTAAATGCGGACATGAAGTGGGCCATCAAGCCCCGCAGGCCTGTCATGGCGGAGATGACCACCATGGGCGACCAGTTGGCGCACCTCACCTACATTGGCGGCGACAAGATCCAGGCCAGCAAAGCGATTGGCCCCATGCTGGATGATGATTATGATTGGGAGTCGGAACGATCGTATGCGGAAGGTGCAGTCGAGCTGGCGACCTCGGGGCCGGTTGGATCAGCATTGAGGTTGCTTTCCACAGCATGGGCGAAGTTCGCAATGCAGGCAGCTACGCGCCTTGGGCATCTCACGGGGTCCAGGATGAGGTCACATTCGTACGGTGGAAAGCTTGGGCCAAGATGGGTGACATATGCGTATGAAGGCAAAGAGCCTGAAGGTGCGCAGGCAATTGCAGACTGCTGGAAGTGGTATGAGGATGCGCTCATGGCCATCTCGAACCTCACAGAACAACGGCTGTCAGGCGACGAGCGCAAGCTTCAAGATGAAGTCTATGGTTTTATTAGCTCGGATTTTTCTGGACAGGGTCTGAGCCAGCGACTGGATGCGGTTGTCGCCCAGGCCAGGCGTGCACTGGCAATGGCAAGTACATCGTCGCAGGACGTGCACAATGTGCTGGAGGAATCTGCGGAGGACACGGGCCTGGAGAAGCAAGCAGCAGATCGCGATAGTGCTCAGAGGTGGAAACAGTGGTGCGATGCAGCTAGCGAGAATGGAGCTGGAAGGTTCATAAAGTCACGTCGCACAAGGATGTGCAGGCACCGACAGTCATCAAAGGAGCTCCTGGCCAATTTCAATCACACCCTCTTCGCAGAGTTGAAGATGCTGAAGACACATCAAAATGTGGAGGTCATCGACGGTGGCGCCTCAAGCGTGTGTGCCCGATCGTAGCAGTCTTCAACGCGCCAGTGCAGCTGCTATTCGGAGAGCCTCAGCCAGCTTTTCGACACGGACATCAGGCAGCCTAGATGGGATCCGCCCGTCGCATTACCAGCATTTGTGCGATGCAGGGCATGAAGTATTGAGCGCACTGTGGGAGGCAAGCGGAAGGATTGGATTGTGCCCCAGACAGCTCACGTGGATGGTTATGCCAATGCTACCGGAGGCCACCGCATCATCATTCTCTACTCGTCCAGCTACAGGGCCTGGCAGCGTGCGCGGCGCGGTGAGTTCGCTCAGCTCCAGGACCATGAGGCACGAGAGTATTGGGGTGCAGCGGCGGGAAGGTCGGCCATCGACAGTGCTTGGAAGTTATCGGCCTGTGCTGAAGCGTGCGTGTCAAAGTTCAGGCGCGCATCGACTCTCATTGCGGACTACATTTTGTACTACGAGACGACAGGGCTGGCCCAAGCGCGTGACAAGCTGTTGCGTCTGGGAGGCAAGATGGCCCAGATCAAGTTGGTCTACAGACAGTGGCAAGGACCAAGGATTACCAGGGCCAGATCACATCACGGAATGAGACCTCAACACGCTACATGCGGCCTACCTGCAGGTGACGGATATGCCGATATAGTCATCTGATATCATGCGGTGGAGGAGTTCGACGAGTGCATTGCGATTCATCAGTACGTGGCCTTCTCGTCTTATATTGACTTCACTGGCATCGGAGTGGAGGGTGACACAAAGGAAGAAGTGATCCGCCAAGCCATGGATGCAGGAAAAGGAGTTTCGCGCTACGGCGGCGAAACTGAAGGCCACAATCAACGACAAGCTTGCCGCCGTGAGCAGCTCGGACGACATAAGTAAGAAGACCGCAGAGGGGCCCATGGTCGGTCGTCATGCTGCAAAACGGGCAGTATCTTTCCTGGGCGCATACTTCTCGGGAGGCAAGCGTCGCGCTGCAGGAGGGGCGAGAAGCAAACACAAGGCGCGAGCTCTTCGCCACCAACAAAAGCTACGCAGGCTTGGGAAGCTTCGCGGAGCGATGCCCACGAAGGCAAGTGAGACGTTTTCGAGAATCTACAGAACAGGGGCCAAGCCTGCATTGACTTTCGGAGTAGAGTTTCATGGCATGAGCGACAGTAAGCTTGATAAGTTCAGGGAAGGTTGTCAACGTCAGCGCAAGCCGCATCATGGAGGCGTATCTGCGTCGGCGAAGCTTGTTCTACTTGGAGACCCAGCTGCGCGTGAGGCGCTAGCCCCAGCACTTCAATGGTGCCGCATGTGCTGGATCGCGAACCATTGCCCGCAGCACTCAACGGTGGCGCTAGGCGAGCTGATGAAGTGGTGGGATAGTGCTGTTACTGAACAAGGAGTGATGGACAAGTGGAACTGGACACTAGGGCCGCTGCAAAGAGCAGCCCTATGCGTTAAACGGGCAGGATGGACAGTTATCTGGAAGCCAGTGGCGCCACCATCGTCAGGACGTCGTCGAGATTACCCAGGTCACCCCGATCATGCTCGAGACGTTGACGGTGCAGGGCCTCGCACGACAGCATGAGCTGGCACTTGGTGCGAAGTGGCATGAGGACCCCTCGATGCGCGTCTCCTTCGACTTCGTGGCCCCATACATCACTAGCAGGAAGTTCAACAAGTACCAGAAATTCTGCATCATGAGCTGCACGTGTGAAGGAGTATGGACTCGGGCAAAGGCACGAAGTAAAAGATACATCACGGACGGCAAGTGCAAGTGCGGTGAGCTGGACACGTTGGCACATCGATTGGCCGAATGTCAAATCCCAGAAGTGGCGGCGGCTCGAGTCAAGGCTGATGTTGGAGCACAGGTCCTTCAGCGCATACGAGATGAAGGGGATGAAGGGCACCTTCTCACAGGAGCATTCACACATCATGATGAGGACTTTCCGCGAATGGACCTTGGCATACAAGCATGCGTAGTGGATGGTGTGGGCAATGACGTACAGCAGGAACCTGACGATATGGTGGAATATGCGGTCCAGCCAGGTACGTCGGAGACTGAGTTCGCAATCTATGGATCTTGCTCCAAGCCGGTGCTGCTCGAGCTTCAAGAGGCGGGATGGGCGACGGTATTGATGGACCCACTCAGCGACGAGCCTCTTCGTGATATGTATGCAGCGGTCCCTGCAAGCCTGCCACAAACCTCGGCAATGGCAGAATACCTCGCTTTCGCTTTCTCCTGTCAGACAGTGGATAGGCCAACAATTCTGCACGCGGACTTCAATGGAACGATCAACCAGTTCAAGAAGTCGGCTCAGGAGCGGGCGATGGTCACGCAAAGATATGGAGGCGTCTTCGGTTTTGCGCAGAGTCTTCCTGGGCTGGAACACATCAATCAAGGACGTCCGTCACGTCAAAGCGCACAGGTCGGGGGACGAATCTGCCAGCCTGGGCGCGGAGACCAAGCGTATCACTGACGGCAACGTGGCTGCAGATCACTATGCGTCTGAAGGTGCGAAGAGACGCGAGGCTGTATCATCGGATCTCAATGACAATATGGAGCAGCATCAGAAGTGGTGCCAAGACATCACCAAGCTCATCGCGAACGTCTTGCCGTTGCATGACCAGGAGGAGCAGCGCTTTCAAAGGAACAGTTCGGGCTTCAAGCGAGTCAGGAGCATAAGGGCGGTCAACTGGCATGAATGGCAAGACTCCGACCTCGGGCAGCAGTGTAAGAGGTGCTTGCGCCTTCGTCAGCCTGGATATGATCAGCTCAACGGATGCGCAGGAACGCCTACCTTTCTCAATGACTACATTGCCATGCCGTTGGGTCACAGGCTGGTGGCAGTCAACCAGAAGGGTGACCTCAGCAACATGTCCTGCAAAGCGACGGTATTTGTGTGCATTAGGTGCGGGGCCTGGGCGCAGCAAAGGCGCAAGCTCAAACTACGTGAAGAATGCACCTGGTCGGCAACGAAAGGACTGGAAGTGCAAAACAACCTTCGAAGAGAAATCGGGCCCCACAAGAAGCTCGCAAGGTATATTGACGCAAGCTTGCCGCTGCGACATGATGCTCGGCGGTTTCAAGCAGCAGAGAAAGTCGTTACTCGTGTTGTGCGGCCAGTTCTTGATGGACCTTATGACTTCGAGCAGTGCATGGCGAGGCTACATCAACGAACTCGTGCTAAGGAGGTAGCCAACAAGCAGAAGGCGGATGAGGCCAACACCATGCTCGGCAACAGTGGCATCATGGACGACATCCAGGGTGTCAGTGTCAGAACGCAAGTCCTGAACGCTGCCCAGCAGTATCCCCAGGCGCAGTCGTCGCCAACGCCTGGTGTCAGAGCGCAAGCCCTGGCAGATGCAATGCAGCATCGCCAGGCGCAGTCGTCGCCACAGTCAGGCGTTAGAGCGCAAGCCCTGGCTACTGCAGTGCAAAATCCGCCAAGCTCAGTCGTCGCCTCTGCTGGATTCAGGCAGCTGAAGAAGAAGGTAGACACCAGCCAGGAAGTGCCTGCTGCAATGGGACTCCCGCCACCAAGTATTATTGGCGGTGGTCATGCTGACCATGCCATGCAGGACTACGCGGACATGCGAGCGGACCTACGAGATTGGACGGCTCTGTGGTTGGACGATCACTCGCGTCTGGCAAGAGAGAGCTCGTCATGGCATGAGTGGTGCGTCGCTTTCGTTACCGAGATGTTCAACCAGGGTGGCAACAACCAGCTGCGGCAATTGCTACTCAGATTGTCCCCCCCCGGGGCCGTTGCAGGAAGTCATTTATGAGCTGCGTGCAAGTGCTTGGAGGCAAACAACCTCCAGGAGAGACGCGTTCATACATCGACTCCACGGCGCGTCCTATGAAGAACGTGCGCGGCTAGAACTTCGCCACTGGCGCGCACTGGCGGAGGTCAGAGAGATGTTCCGCAGGCTACTTGAAGAGCGAGCTCCAGATCGTCTCAATCCACCGCCGCCAAGGGGCCCGTACCATGGCGAAGATCAAGCAGTGGACCGTGCTGTGCTACTGCATCATGGCATTGGATGGGCCACTGCAGGGGATGGTAAGTTATCTAGCGATGTCCTGGGGGATCGTCAGTATCATATCGGATACAGGACGAAGGCCCTGTCGTGCCCGAGAGACGAGTCCGAGGCGGCTGCGGGGGCGGCCTTGCCGATGGGAGAGACTCCGTCGTCTTCCCCTCGTCGGCTGCGGCGGCCATGGAAGGATGTATTTCACCTATAGGGGAAAGGGCGTGCTCTCAAGACAAGGAACAGGCGAGTGCCAGCAGTGCCTCGACCCTGCCAGCGGCGAGTTCGACGATGGCTACGAGGGCGAGACGAAGGATTCTTGGCAAGACTACGGTAAGTTACCCCCCTGCCAGGCGAGGGGTGCGGCCTGAGAGTGCGATGGGAGATGCACCTGCGCCCCCAGCCAGGCGATGGGTTTAGGCCTGAAGTTGTTGACGCTGGGCACATGGCGGAGGCCCCTGAGGGGTCCAGAGGGCATGCAACAAAGCGCGTGGTATCCCCGAGGGGCATCACCAGTGACAAAGGGCCAGTGGCCTTGCAATGCGGGTATCCCCCTGCCAGGCAAGGGGTTAGGCCTGAGAGCGCGATGGAGGATGTAGCAATTTCCTTTGCCAGGCGAGGGGTTAGGCCGAAAGCGGTTGACAATGTGCACGTGGTGATGGCTCATGAAGGGCACAGAGGGCAGGCAACGCAGCGTGTGATTTCCTCGGGAGGCTTCACCAGTGACAGAGTTCCAGTGGCGCTGCAACGCAGTATTTCCCAAGCCAGGCGAGGGGGTAGGCCTGGATAGTGCTATTGAAGATGTAGTATCTCTCCCAGCCAGGCGAGGGGTTAGGCCTGAAGCAGTTGACACTGGGCACATGGTGGAGGCTCCTGAGGGGCCCAGAGGGCATGAAACACAGCGAGTGGTATCCTCGGGGGGCCTCACTAGTGACAGGATGTCAGAGGCATTGCAATGCGGCATTTCCCCTGCCAGGCGAGGGGTTAGGCCTGGGAACGCAATGGATGTAGTACTGTCCCCAGCCAGGCGAGGGGTTAGGCCTGTCACCAACCTGGACGACCAGGAGAACCCGTTCGACCAGATCGACGAGAGCTTCCACGAAGAAGGTCTGGTGCAATACTAATGGTGGGTTTCCAGAGGTGCAGCCTGAGTCCGAGAACTCCCAGGAGGTGCAGATCTGCACGGACTCCGGCCTGGTGGTCCACGAGGTCGGCAACGTGCTGAATTTCAGCGACTTCGTCTCCCTCTTCCTCTGAGAGGGGGCGCGGCTGCCGTCGCTGGTGGCCGCGACGGAGCGCGGGGCGGCCAGCCCGCCCGCGTTCGGCCCCTGGGGCAGACCCGCGTCTCGCGGCCCGTCTCATCTCATCTCATCCTCCTCCTCCTCCTCCATTGCGTCCGCTGCGTGTTTACGTATACTGATGGCTGGCAGAGCCCTCGGGGATGCCCTCACAACGCGTTTGTATTGCTTTATTCTCCCCCATCTCATTTTCCTTCTCCTCAACGGCTGGTGCTTTCCGTGGTGGAGTCATCTTTCTCTCGGTGGGGAAGCTGGCAATTCTAGCATCATTGCATATTGCCAACGAAAAACCGAAACATCGGAGGGACCTGAGGACTTCAGTCCCTACGGCACGATGGCGGATATGTCGGACAGCCCTGATGCAGAGTTGTTTGATTATTTCAGCACCAGGCGGTTTATCAATCCTCGTCCTGCTCCCGATCCCAGGCTTCCTTCGCATATACTTGTTGGGCCTCTGCGGCCTGTTGGAGTCCGATGTGTAGATTTCACGCACACTCCGAAATTGCGGCCTTCCCCCATCCGCCCGCCCCTCTTGCAATCTCCTGGGTAGGCTTAACTCCTGCGAGCTTGAATCCATAATCAGCTATGGTACACCCGTTGTCGACATCTGCTCTAATCCAGCACATTCTGGTACAGTCCCGTCTTCTCTTTGCTAAACCAGATTGGTCCGACGTGATCTCATGGTTTCCTGCCCATCCCGCCATTGTGCTTGGGTTGTGGGTCATAGGCCGTGTTCGTTGGGATGTCGCGGGAGGCTTTTCGGGGGTTTCGTGGAGGCCGTTTTGAAGCCTCTTGAGGGCCGTGTTGTGGCTTCTTGAAGCGTATTCGGGGCCTCTTGGAAATCTCTTGGGGCCTCTTGGGGCGGAAGACTCGGATTATCGGTTGGCGTTCCCTTCTTAGGCCCTTCTTGGGGCTGTCTTTGGGCCGTCTTGGGCCGTCTTGGGCGCCTCTGGGGCCGGCGTGGAGCTCTCTTGGGCCGCCTTGAGGCGGTTTTGAGAGCGTCGGGAGCTTGAAAAGTCGAGGACCCTAAAACATCATTGAACAACTTACGGACATTTTATGATTTGGGCCTCCCGGGTCCCTGTTGGGAAAGCACTTGGGACTCTCTTGAGGGGTCGTGGAGGCCTCATTGTCCGTTTTGGGACCATGCTGGGCGTCTTGGTGCGATCGTTCGGCGACTCGGAGCCCTCTTGGACAGTCTGGATGGCCGCTTGGGGCCCTCTTGGCCCGTCTTGGGCCCCTCTTGGGCCTGAAAAAGACACGCGAGAAGTTGCGAGAAACCCCGTGGAGCACGACGGAAACCCAAGAAGATTCAGCAATTTGGGCTCCGGGCCCCTTGAAGACTATTCAAGAGTGTTTCAGGGATGAGGCAAAGGATCTGAGGGCACGCCCACTCCGCGCCCAGCGGCACGGTGGCGGATACTGGGCTTAGTCGGGGCTGATGCGGGGCGGAATGGCCCCTGATCGTATCATGCGGGCCGAACTTCCGTACAATGGCCGAAAGTCCGTCCAAACGGCGATCTCGCTTCGGCAAGGGCAGCACACCGCCAGCGTCATCTGCACGTCGTGGCCAGTTTAAGAACAAACCGTGAGGATGTCTCAGCAGAAACCGGCTTTTTACCTAACATTGAAGACTGATAGGTTTCTGGTGGTCTCAAAAGAGAGCATCATGACTCCCCAGGGAGGTCCGGGCAGGATTTGGGGAGAATCCGCGGAAGTCGTTTTAAGCAAACAGTTACACACTTCGTGGTCTTCGAGGTCCCAGAACTCCATTCCCGGGCCACATTCTGAATGCCTGGAGCCAACTGTAGGCCACTTCGTGCTCTTCGAGTTCCCAGAACTCCATTCCCGGGCCACATTTTGAATGCCCGGAGCCAATTGTAGGCCACTTCGTGCTCTTCGAGTTCCCAGAACTCCATTCCCGGCTCACATTTTGAATGCCCGGGGCCAACTGTAGGCCACTTCGTGGTCTTCGAGTTCCCAGAACTCCGTTCCTGGGCATGATTTTGAATGCCCGGAGCCAAATGTAGGCCACTTCGTGTTCTTCGAGTTCCCAGAACTCCATTCCCGGGCCACATTTTGAATGCTGAGGCAGGCTGATGCTGAGGCTGAGGCAGGCTGAGGCTGAGGCAGGCTGAGGCTGAGGCCGAGGCTGAAGGCAGACTGAGGCTGAGGCTGAAGCAGGCTGAGGCTGAGGCTGAGGCAGGCTGAGGCTGAGGCTGAGGCTGAGGCTGAGGCTGCTGAGGCAGGCTGAGGCTGAGGCTGAGGCTGATGCAGGCTGAGGCTGAGGCAGGCTGAGGCTGAGGCCGAGGCTGAAGGCAGACTGAGGCTGAGGCTGAAGCAGGCTGAGGCTGAGGCTGAGGCAGGCTGAGGCTGAGGCTGAGGCAGGCTGATGCTGAGGCTGAGGCTGAGGCTGAGGCTGATGCTGAGGCTGAGGCTGAGGCTGAGGCTGAGGCTGACTGAGGCTGAGCAGGCTGAGGCTGAGGCTGAGGCTGAGGCTGCAGGCTGAGGCTGAGGCTGAGGCTGAGGCTGAGGCTGAGGCTGAGGCTGAGCAGGCTGAGGCTGAGGCCGAGGCTGAAGGCAGACTGAGGCTGAGGCTGAGGCTGAGGCTGAGGCTGAGGCTGAGGCTGAGGCAGGCTGAGGCTGAGGCTGAGGCAGGCTGATGCTGAGGCAGGCTGAGGCTGAGGCTGAGGCTGATGCAGGCTGAGGCTGAGGCAGGCTGAGGCTGAGGCTGAGGGCTGAGGCTGCAGGCTGAGGCTGAGGCTGAGGGACTGAGGCTGAGGCTGCAGGCTGAGGCTGAGGCCGAGGCTGCAGGACTGAGGCTGAGAGCTGAGCTCTGCAGGCTGAGGCTGAGGCTAGGCAGCTGAGGCGGCTGAGGCTGAGGCTGAGCCGATGCAGGCTGAGCTGCGGCAGGCTGAAGCTGAGGCCGAGGCTGAAGGCACACTGAGGCTGAGGCTGAAGCAGGCCGGGGCTGAGGCTGAGGCAGGCTGAGGCTGAGGCCGACGGCAGACTGAGGCTGAGGCTGAAGCAGGCTGAGGCTGAGGCAGAGGTAGGCTGAGGCAGGCCGAGGCTGAGGCCGAGGCTTAAGGCAGACTGATGCTGAGGCTGAAGCAGGCTGAGGCTGAGGCTGAGGCAGGCTGAGGCTGAGGCTGAGGCAGGGTGATGCTGAGGCAGGCTGAGGCTGACACTGAGGCCGATGCAGGCTGAGGCTGCGGCAGGCTGAAGCTGAGGCCGAGGCTGAAGGCACACTGAGGCTGAGGCTGAAGCAGGCCGGGGCTGAGGCTGAGGCAGGCTGATGCTGCGGCAGGCTGAGGCTGAGGCTGAGGCTGATGCAGGGTGAGGCTGAGGCATGCTGAGGCTGAGGCCGAGGCTGAAGGCAGACTGATGCTGAGGCTGAAGCAGGCTATGCTGAGGCTGAGGCAGGCTGAGGCTGAGGCTGATGCAGGCTGAGGCTGAGGCAGGCTGAGGCTGAGGCTGTGACTCCGACTGCCGTTGCCACTGCGACTGTCATCGCGAATGCGACTACGACTGCGAGAACAGCAGAATTCTACAACTGGATTATCATCTGAATCTTAAGGGGAATGCTTCCAGATATGCTCCTACACATCGCTGTTAGGTTGCTTTGCCGGGATAATTTGGTTCACATGGGGGGGGGCTGGGCGACATGGGCGAATCAAGCGCACGTTTGGCGAACGTCAGAATCGCAGCGATGTCCCAGCATCTTGGGCCAGTTCGATTGATTGCCGCCAGTGTGCTCCTCCTCCCTTCCTCGTCGTCGTTGTCCTCCTCGTGCTCCTCGCTGTCCTCCTCCTTCGCCGCGCCACAGCTGCAAGCGGTGTGTAGGGCACCGCGGAGGCCCGTGCTGCCTCCCTCCGCGCCCGCGCGCTGCCCTCTCTCGCTGTCCCGACGTCGGCCGCCGTGGCCTCGGCATGCCCATGCCGTCTGGAGGAGGAGGGAGGAGGAGGAGGAGGAGGAGGAGGAGGAGGAGGAATACGAGTAGGAGGAGGAGGAGGAGGTTCCTCCTCCTCCTCCTCCTTCTCCTCCTCCTCCTCATCCACCCACACCCGGCTGCGGTCATTGGGCGTTTCCCTTTTCCTGTAAAGATAGTTCTTCGCTGGTGTCACGGCGTGCCTCGTGGAGTCCTTCCCCGGAGCAGCGAACATGTGGGCTTCGAAAATAAAAACACGTGGATTGAAGTTGCGGGCCGTACGGCGGGGCCGGCTCCCTTGCAGACGAGGGGGGCGCTCCCTGGCGTCCTCGCTCTTGCGAAACATGTTGCGACAAGAGGTTTTTTGCATGGGCGAACCTGAACGGTGTTTTGGCGATTTCGTGGGCCGTTATCGTTTCGATTTCGTTTTGCAGCGAAGGCGAGTTCAGGACAGAACGAGGGAAAACGAAAACCAAACGCAAACGAATCGCACTGTTTTTGGTCCAGCCCTGGGTTCTGGCACTTCTTGGCCTCCAGGGGGGGCCTCCGCCGGGCCCCGGGAAGCTGGCGGCGCGCGCACGTCACGGCCTACGGACACGCCTGGTTGTCCGACAGGTTGGAGCACGGGTGGAGTTGTTGCCAAGACCTTACGGTCGGCGCCGCCGACCCCGAAGGGAGACGACGACGACGACGATGACGACGACGACGACGACGGCGGCGGCGACGACGTCGACGACGACGCAAACGCTCTGGAGACCTGCGGGGAGGGGCTGGACTTTCCCTTGTCCACGGGGGGAGCACACCCGATCCCCCAGGGGGCACGGTATGTTGACCCAGGTCCCCCCTTCCACCCCCTCCTCCTTCTCCTCCTCCTCCTCCTCCTCGTCCTCCTCCTCCTCCTCGTCCTCCTCCTCATCCTCCTCCTCCTCCTCCTCCTCCTCCTCCTCCTCCTCCTCCTTCTCCTCCCCCTACTCCTCCTTCCTCCTCCTCCTCCTCCTCCTCCTCCTCCTCCTCCTCCTCCTCCCCCAATCCCCTCCCCCTCCCTCTCCTCCTCCTTCCTCCCCCTCCCCCTCCTCCTCCCCCCTCCCTCTCCCCCTCCTCCTCTTTCCTCCCCCTCCCGTGGCAGGGAACGGATCAAAGGGCGGAGGGTTCCCTTCGACTTAACTACCGCGCTGCTCAATTTCCTTGTGGCTCGCGGCTGTGGACGACGACGACGACGACAACGACGTCTTCCGCACGCCGAAGCGTCGGCCGATTTACAAGGAAGAGGGAGGAAGGAGGAGGGGGAGGAGGAGGAGCAAGAGGAGGAGGAGGTGGTGGAGGAGGAGGACGAGGGCATGGGGAAGGGGCCGAGGATAGCCGCGGTTGCCGAAAACTGCGGAGGAAAGGTGCCTCGGAGGTGGTCCCACGTCGGAGCTGGATGACCTTCTAGCACGGGGCGTCCAACACCGCGTGGGGGCTGGCGGGGGGGTCCGGCTGGCCTTCCTGTTGAGGGCTCCGCTGCGCGCAACCCCTGGGGGTGGAGGAGGCGCAGTCGGCGGCTTATGTGGGGGAGCGTGAAGAGACCGCCGCCGCGACATGTGTGCGCCCTGCTTCCGCGCGGCAAGCTTTTTGACCCCGGTCTGGGTCTGCGTGAGTTTGCCTTCGGATCGATGGCAGGGGGGTGCTCCAAGGTGGGGTCAGGAGCGCACCCAGCCTGCGGCGAACTAAACCTCCTCTTCCAGGGGCCGTTCAGCGTGAGCTTCCTCTAGCCCCGTCTCTGCCCATACCCCACATGTTCCTCTCAGCGGGCGAAGAAGGGTATACACAAAGTTTTTCCGTCACCAGGGGCACCTGCCCCAGGGCGGCTGGACAGTTTATATTTTTACGTGCCACCGTAAGGGTATAAACTTTCCAGCCGCCCTGGAACAGGCGCCCCCGACGGCGAACAACAATTTATGTAATACCGCTCTTCACCTGTTAATGCTCAGCTCCTGCTTGCCTCCAGGGTGCCCTGGGTTTCTTGGGTTTCGATGGTTTTCCTGTGGAAGGCGTGACGTTCTCACACCAAACATCGGTGTACGTCCTGGGGTCTCAGGGTTGGGTTTCTTATGGAAGGTTTCTTGTGGACGGATCTCCACTGTGCTCGTGTCCGGGAGCTGCCGCTGCGCCTCGGAGCTCCACCACCGACAACAACTTCTGTGCAGACTGCGAACGGCAGGCTCTCGGGGCGTGTCGCCGTGGCGGCGACCTCGCCACGTGCGCTCAAGGTTGAACGCCGCCAGTGGCCCTCAGAGCAGGAAAATGTGCACACACCTCTACCCTTCCCTCGTTTTCCCCCTCAATCGGCCTCCCGGGAGGCCCTCGTCGCCGCTGCTGGATTCGCCTCGAAATTCTGGTCAGAACGCACCCTGGGAGAGGTCTGGGGAGCAGCGGTATCGGTACTTCTGGATTCCCCAGGCCCAGGATCGCCCGAGATGGTGGAACGATTTGGCGATCGAAAAGATGCCGATCGTCCAAGGGCCGAACCGACCCAGAAGGTGTCAGAAGCCAACGCGCAGGTTTTCACGGCGCAGAGCTATTGTTCCGAGTGTGACCCCTTCTTGTCCGCCCCTCTACTCGCCCCCTCGCCCCGCTCAGGTGAGGAGGAGCGAGTTGTCGCACCGCAGCAAGGGCAGGCCGACGACAGCACGAAGGACAGCGACATGAAAGCGAACACGAAAGACGCAGCGACATCAGAGCGCAGACGAAGGAAGGGCGAGACCAGAGCGACGGAAGACGAAAGATCCAAGCGAAGACGAAGGACGACGACATCCTGGCGAGAACGAACAACCAAAAACACCGCTCGGCTCGAGCCCTGCCCAGGCCCCCGACGTCATGATTTCTTCACAACCTCGACCCTCAGGGGTCTCGACCTGCTCCCCAGGACCGGCTTGTCACCCCGAGCCGGTTTTTGACGGTCCCGAGGGCCGGTGAGGGCCCCCAGACGCCGAAACTTTGGAACAACCAGCCGTTACGATCTTATTCCTGACCTACCAGGAGGGCCATTAAAGTAGCATCCGACTTAAAAACCTATCCCAAAGCTGTTCTACGTCTTGGTCTTAGAATGCTTCGTTCCGTTGTTTAGGTTTCTAGGCCCCCAGTGCTAAAACATAGCTCTCTGGAAGGTCCGGGGTCCTTGCCCGAGGGGGTCTGCAGGTGGAGAGCGAGCAGCGAGCGGCAGGGCCGACGGTCCCGAGGGCCGGTGAGGGCCCCCAGACGCCGAAGTCTTGGGAAAGCCACCCCTCACGATCTTCTTTTCCTGGCCCGAGAGGGGGTCTGGGCGGAGAGCGAGCAGCGGGCGGCCGGGCCGCCGCGGCCTCTGGGCGCCTCTGCGCGCGGGGCGCGCGCGGGGGGGGGGGGCCGAGGGCCCACGGCCCCAGCCGGGGGCCTGGGCCCGCCGGCCGCGCCCTGCTGGCGCTCCGCGAGAGCCCGCGGCCGCGCCTCGGGGCCCCGAGGGGCGCCGGCCACGCGAGGAGGGCAGCGCGAGCGAGGGAGGGGGAGGAGGGCGAAGGAGAGTAGCGAGGGAGGGAGGGAGGTGGGGAGGGAGCGAGGGGGAGGGAGGGAGCGCGGGGAGGGGGGCGCGAGGCGAGGGAGGGGGCGCGGCGCGAGCGAGCGAGCGAGAGGGAGCGAGGAGGGCGAGCGAGAGGAGGAGCGGGGAGCGAGGCGGCCCGGCGTCGTGCGCTCTGCCGGGCGTGGGCCCCCTCGGGGGCGGCAAAGAGGGGTGTGATGGCTAGGGGGGGGTGGATATCATGGCGTGGGCCTGTCTCCCATCAGTGAAAGTTCGATTTCCCATCGAAAAACCTTTGGAACACCTAAGGCAAGCTGTGAAACAGTCAAGGAACACGGAGTCCCTTCCCAACGAGAAGGGATCCTTCTTCAGCGCCCCGGCTGTAGCGCCGATTCCGGGTCGGCTTGTCCGGCCCTGAGCCGGTCCTCGCGGACGTCCCCCTCTCGGGGGCGGCAAAGACGGAGGTGATGACCAGGGGGGGTGGATATCTTGGCGTGGGCCATGATATTTTCCCCAGATTTCATGGCGCCTCTCATTTCATTGCGTCCCTGGCCCCCCCGCTGGGCTGCGCACATGCCGCTGGTCATGATTTGCGCCCCCCCCCCCTCTTGGGCCCCCCCCTCTTGGCCGCTCCCGACCCCCAGAGGTCTCGAGGCGGCCCAGCGTTAAGTTAAGTCGGGCTTGTCCCTCTACGTGAGGAAAATCCAAACATAGTCAAAAATGGTATAGGGACGACGCTTTGAGTGTTGTCTCGTGTTTGGTTTATTTTTTCCAGACGATGTTTTCTTCTTCGTCCAAAAGCCGCCTGTCGGAGGACATGCCCGACCTAAGCCTCGCGGAGGTAGAAGCTTACATCTACACGGGTCTGCAACGCCCGGAGGGCTACCATGGGGGAAACGGGTCTTGAGGGAAGCGGGTCCTGAGTCGTTTCTAGATTTTCCAGCGCTCGTGGCGGGCCCCAAGACCGTCAGGCAACAGCTCAGGATCAAGAGTTGATCACTGGGGAAGGCCCCAGGATCCAGGACACGCTCCCCACAGGACCCGCTCCCTCCATGCTAAGGGGGTGGCCTCATTGGGAGGTTCGGGCGACCAGCTCACGAGCGCAGCCTCCCCACCCCCGCGCGATCCTCTCCGAGAGCCCTGCACGGTCGCCCATGGAGCTCTAGTCGCGGCCGCGACCAGCCCCGCCCAGAGTCGGAGATCCAAACGTGCAATGTCATCGGGAGCCTTGAGACGGGGTCGATGCAAACGGGGGTCAGCCAGAGCGCCGGATCTTGCAGGATCCTGCAAAGCCAGGGTTGCATTGACCTGGGCTTGCGGGCAGGATAAAGCAGGATCCTGGAGGATCTTGCAGGATCCTGTGAAGCCCGACTGACCCGGGCTTGCGGGCAGGATCCTGGGTTATTTGGCAGGATCTTGCAACGCCCGACTGACCCAGGTTGGCACTGACCCGGGCCAGTGCGTCCCCGATGTCACGGGCCCCGCAGGGAGACGAAGAGGGGAGGGAGGCGGGGGAAGGTGGATGGAGGAGCGAAGAGAAAGAACGACGATGGGGAGAATAGGGAGGGGGAGGAGGACGAGGACGAGGAGGAGGAGGACGAGGAGGGCGAGGAGGAGCAGGAGGAGGAGGAGGAGGAGGAGGAGGAGCAGGAAGAGGAGGAGAAGGGGGAGGAGGAGGAGAAGGAGGAGGAGGAGGAGGGGGGAGGAGGACGAGGACGAGGAGGAGGAGGAGGAGGAGGAGGAGGACGAGGACGAGGACGAGGACGAGGAAGAGGAGGAGGACGAGGAGGAGGAGGAGCCGCGAAAGTCGCGACCAATTTTCACAATCCCGAAACCCGGCGAAAACCCGTATAAAACCCCACAACCCCCATAAGCCCAAGAAGCCTACCAGAAAAGACCTCCCATCGCGGCGTGTTCTCGCAAGACCCGCGGGGGGCAGCAGGGAGCGAGGCAGCGCAGGGAGGTGCAGAGCGGCACCGGTGTTCAGTCGGGCCTGTCCCTCTACAGGGGGAAAATTCAAAATTAGCACAGAAAGAAACAGGGGACGATTTTTTGACCATTCTGGCTTATTGTTGGGACATTTCGGGGGGCATTTTTTTGTCCACGTTGCACGTTACAGGAGAATATTCCAAAGTAGTACAGAAATAGTCTGGGGACGACTGTTTGACCATTCTGGTTTATTGTTGGGACATTTGTGTTGGGGCATTTTTTGTCCACGTTGCACGTTTCGCTTAAAATCCGCCTGTAGGGGAGCATGCCCGGCCTAACACCAGTGCGGCAGCGGAGAGCCTGGCGCGGCGGCGAGAGGAGCGAGGAGGGAGCGACCCAGACCTGCGATGCCATGTTGTGTTTGTGTTGTTGATTGTTATTGTTGTTGCTGTTGCTGTTGTTGTCGTTGTCGTTGCTGTTGTTGCTGTTGCTGTTGCTGTTGTTGCTGTTGTTGCTGTTGCTGTTGTTGCTGATGCTGCTGCTGGTGTTGCTGTTGTTGTTGGTGTTGTTGCTGGTGTTGTTGCTGTTGATGTTGCTGCTGTTGTTGTGTTGGTTGGTTTTGCTGTTGGTGTGGTTGTTGTTGGTGTTGGTGCTGTTGTTGTTGTTGTTGTTGTTGTTGTTGTTGTTGTTGTTGTTGTTGTGTTGATTGTTGGTGTTGTGTTTGTGTGTGTGGTTGTTGTTGCTGCTGTTGTTGCTGTTGTGGTTGTGGTTGTGGTGGTTGCTGTTGTTGATGTTGTTGTTGTTGCTGGTGGTGGTGTTGGTGTTGTTGCTGTACTTCCCCATCAAAAGACAGTGGAACCACGTGCCAAGAAGCACAATGCTTGTCTCCTGGGTGCGCTGGGTTTCTCGGGTTCCGATGGTTTTGCGATGGAGAGCGTAACGATCCCAGACCAACAAATACCTTGTGACGTACCCAACCCTTTCTATACACGTGGCGATTATACCTGAGACGCGCGTCACCTGCGCTGGCTGCCGAGGTAGGGTTGGTCTGAGACCTCCTCACGACGCAGGGCGAATGTTGGGGATTACTCCTTCAAAAATAATGGGAGTCACAGTGATGCGTCCCTCTCACGGCAACCTTTAGTAAAAGGCGAAAGATCGGTACGAGCTGAAATGAACACTGTGGTGAATGCGTCTTTCGTCGTTGCAATTCTCGCAGCGTCGTCGTTGCATGTTGCGGCGGTTTGCGAACACGGAAAAACAGGCGTTAGCGGGACCTTGCTGGGAACTCGTCAATGACGATGTTGCGTTGCCGTGACCACTGCATGGCCAGCATCGCGGGGGCTCTGGTCAGTCTGAATGAATGTTGGCAGCATCGGCAACGTCGGCGTGGAGAAATTTGGGCCCCACATCGAGCGGCATCGCCGATGCATCGCCGACTTCGACGCCCGAAATGAAATGGGTGCGGAAAAAATGGGCACATTGCCCAACAACAAATGGTGTCCCAAACCAAGCGGCAGCTGTTGGGCAAGCGGCCTTCTGTCTCAAATGGACACAGGCCGCGGCGGCGCGGACAGCGAGTCCTGTGCAAAAGTGAGCAGGAACTGTTGTTGTGCATTGTGCCCATTCTTTCCGTGCCCATCTCGTTGGTGTTGCGCCGATGCATCGGCGATGCTGCGAGGCGGGGATTTGTCCATATCCACCGCCTGGGAACCGACGTCCTGGTGCCCCAGCGGGCGGTGAATATGGATATGTTTCGGCCCCCGGGGACCCGAATATGTCCATATCCACTGCCTGCCGAAACTCCACAAACTGACCCTCCAGGCGGTGGAGATGGATAAATTCCCGCCTCGGAGATGCTGCGCGAGCCTCTGGCCCCATCTGCTCCGACCCCAACTGGGAGGCATAGAGCTCCATGGGGTGCGGCGGCGCGGACACCGAATCCTGCCCGAAGTGAACAGGAACTGCTGTTGAGCATTGTACGCATTCTTTCCGTGCCCATCTCGTTCGTGCAGAGCCGATGCATCGGCTCGGGGATCTAATGACCCAGGTCAATTCAGACCGGGGTCAGCCAGGCCTTGCAGAATCTTGCAAGATCTTGCAAGACCCTGCACCCAAACCCGGGTCAACGCGAAGGATCCTGCAAGATCCTGCAGGATCCTGCACCCAAACCCGGGTCAATGCGACACAAACCCGGGTCAATGCGACACTGGCCCTGCAGGATCCTGCAAGGTCTGGCGGTCTGGCTGACCTCCGTCTGCATTGACCCCCGTCTCAAGGCTCCCGATCGAAGATGCTGCGCGATCCTCCGGCCCCCATTTGCTCCGACCCCGACTGGGAGGCATGGAGCTCCAGACGGGGTGCCAGCATCGTGCCAGACGGCCGCCGGAGGCCCCAGTCGTGGCCCCCGACCGCCATGCAGCCTCAAGTCGGGCCTGTCCCCCTACAGGGGGAATATTCAAAAATAGTTCAAAAATAACATGGGGACCATGTTTTGATTATTTTTGGTTATGTTCTGAAGATTTTTGGAATATGTCAGTCTCCGAAATCTGCCTGTAGGGGGACGTGCCCGACGTAAATCCAGCGCTGTGGACATGCTCGAATCCGAACAACAATCGGCGGCGGAAGTTTGTGGCAACGTTCGGCCTCCGGTGGCCTTCGCCAGGCCCGGGGCCCGTCAACGGTACGCCTCGCGATGATAAACGGGCCTTCAGGGGAACGATCGGCACTTCTGGAGCCCCGTAGAGTAGGAGCCCGTCCAAAGAAACCTCCCACGAGAAACTCAACCCTGAGACCCCAGGACGTCCATTGTTTTTCCCAACCCTCCTGTGCTGGGTACTCGTTTTGAATAGAGCAGTGTGGTCTCCTCCTCTCCTCCTCCCCTCTCCTCCCCTCCTTCTCTCCTGTTTCCTGTGTTCCCCTCTCCTCTTCTCTCGTGCCGTCGGGCTGCGATCAGCGCAACTGTCGACACTTTCGCGGGCTCCTGGGAGGCCCAGCGGAAGTACGTCATGCGCAGATCACCACGAGACCTCGCCGCCCCTGGGGGGCTGCGATCTGCACAATTGTCGCCACTTTCGTGGGCTCCTGGGAGGCCCAGCGGAGGTACGTCATACGCGGATCACCACGGGACCTCGCCGCCCCTGGGGGGCTGCGATCTGCGCAATTGTCGCCATCTTCGTGGGTTCCTGGGAGGCCCAGCGGGGGTACGTCATACGCGGATCACCACGGGACTTCTTGCTGCGCTTTTCTGAAATCGAAGCTGGGTGCTCTTCTTGCGCACTGCATCAGCATGCATACAGGAAGATGTTGGCGGAGTTCTTGGATCCGCCCTGGGCCCCCCCGGTGGCGCCTCTGGTGCCGCCCCTTGCGGCCCCCGGGCGCGTTCCGCGCGCCAGGCAGGGGGGGTGTCCAGCGCAGATTCAGGAAATCCGCGCGGAGGGCCAACAGTTCTGCTCATGGCGTTTTCTTCTTCTTCTTCTTCTTCTAGAGCGAGGCGTGGCCGCCAGGATTAAGTCGGGCGTGTCCCTCTGCAGGAGGAATATTCAAAGATAGTCCAAAAAACGTCTGGGAACGATCGTTTGCATATTTTCGATTATGGTTTGATACTCGTTGGGGGTATGTTTTCACTTTCGCCCAGTATGTGCCTGTAGGAGGACATGCCCGACCTGAAGCGAGGGGCACCTCTCGCGGAGCGGGGGCGGCGGCGGCGGCGAGGGGGGCGGCAGCGGCGGGAGCCCCCCGGCGCCAGCCCATGCGGCCCCGGCTGCCGCTCCTCCTGTGCGCCTGGGGCGCCCCGCACCTCCGCCGCGGCGGCGCGCAGGAGCAGGCCGCGCACCGGGAGGGCGTCGTCGTCGTCGTCGTCGTGTTCGTCGATGGTCGATCGTCGTCGTCGTCGTCGTCGTCGATCGTCGTCGTCGGCGTCGACGTCGACGTCGACGATCGTCATCGTCTTCTCTGTCCTTGGTCGTCCGTCGTCGTCCCTCATTCTCCCGCGCGCGCGGGCGGGAGCGCGGGCGAGGAGGAGCAGGAGGAGGAGCAGGAGGAGGAGGGGGGAGGCGGAGGGAGGTTTACGAACGACGTTCTTTCCATCCACCAGGAATCAAGAACCCGGAGTAGGAGAAGGAGGAGGAAAAGGAGGAGGAGGAGGAGGGGGAAGAGGAGGAGGAGGAGGAGGAGGAGCACTGCAAACCCAAGACTCATCAACGATGTTGGGATACACCTTCGCGAGTTAGCGTAGTTGTTGCGCCCTGACAATCCTGATTTGTGCCAAAACACCATGTCTGGTACGTTAGCCATGGGGATCAATGAAGCCCATGTGATTTGTTCAAACGAATGTGCGCGGCGCTACGGCGCGAGCCACATTTTGAAAAAGGGCCGCCCTCAATCCGTGAAGCTCTTGCATTGTTTAACGAATGTGCGCGGCGCTCCACATTTTGAAAAGGAAACCGCCTTCAATCCGCGGAACTCTTAAAAGCGTTAAAGCGAATGGACGCGGCGCTAAGGCGAGCGCCACAGTTTGAAAATGACGCGCCCTCGATCCGTGAAGCTCTTGCAAATGCTTACAGTTCAGATGCGCCGCGCTAATGCGAGCGCCACATTTTGAAAACGACCCGCTTTCAATCCGTGAAGCTCTGGCACCTGTTCAGAGGCGAAGACCAATTTTAAAGCACGACCCGCCTTCAATCGGCGGGATTCTTACACATGTTCAAAAACAATGTGCGTGGCGCTGAGGCAAGAACAATGTTTTGGAAGCGACCCGCCTTCCATGTGTGAAACTGCGGCCAGCTTCGCAGCTTCGGGCTCATAACTAGCGAGGAAATCTCAGGCGAAACGCCCAGCCCGCCCTTTCTACAGGCCCAGGGGTGCGGCAGGGAGGACGGAGGGAGGAGGGAGGAGGGAAGAGGGAGAAGAGAGGAGGAGGAGGAGGAGGAGGAGGAGGAGGAGGCAGAGGGAGGCGGAGGGAGGAGGAGGACGAGGAGGAGGAGGGGGAGCAGGAAGGATCTTGCAGCAACTAGGAACCAGGAGGAGGATGAGGAGGAGAAGGAGACGGGAGGTGTTGTTGCAAGTGCAGAGCGAGGACATCTCAGCACCGGCGTGAAAACTAGAGAGACAATGAGAGCGAGAGAGAGAGAGAGAGACATGTGCGAGCACAGTGAGTGAAGCTACCGCTGGCGTTTTGGCTGTGTTCCCAGGGCCGGCTCTTGAGCCGAGGGTATCTCGACCCCATCCTTTTACAGGACGCATGCGCGGCAGGCGCAACTTCGGCGCCAGGTACAGGAAGCGCTCTTGCCTCATGAGTGGACCGATTACGCTTACATATCCTGTGCATTCGCAGGCTGCGATAAACAAGGGAAGTGATCAGCATCAAGACAGCAGCCTCGACAGCGATTCCACTCCACTAGCTTTGCGGAGCTATTTTTGAGAAGTATGGTCCGAGCATTCCTTTGGAATCATGACCCCACAAGTCGAACGTGGAGTGATCCTGAGTTGGGGCGTCTGGCTGAAGAGCATCGACGACTACACCGAGATCTTCCGTATCTATGTCTCAGGGACCAAGATGGACGAACGGCAGCTGCACGGCGCGCGCTTGATTTGGAGTAGTGGCCAACGGCACGGTCCATAAATGACAATCGCTTGCCCTCCCAGCAACATCGTCCGGAAAACAAGCAACAAATAAAGTCCAGGAGCTCGTGCAGTACCTGAAGGCGAAACTCGAAACCAGGGGTCCATCGACCTCACGAAGATGATCGCGCAGTATACATATAACGGAGGACTGGGTCCGGGGGCCAGGGGCCGGGACCCCGACCGCAGATGCGGGACCCGGGGCCCCGGCCCGCTTCTGGGAGGTCTAAAATCGCCCCGAGGAGCCCTCAGACAGCAATTCTGGCGGCCCCAGACGGTCTCGAGACGCCCCCAAGACGCCGTCCAGAGGTCTCTGGCGACGCACGATGCGTTTTAAACTGCCCTGGAGGCCCCCAAGACGCCCCGAGAGGCTTTGAAGATGCCGCCCAAGAGCGCCCCGTGATGGCAAAATCGTTGATTCTCAGATGTTCGTTTCACATGTTCGTGTTTCGTGTTTCCGGCGCTAAAGCACCGCCCAAGAGGCTCCCAAAACCGCTCCCAGACGGCCCAACAGGCCCCAAGAGGGCCCCAAGGCGGACCAAGAGAGCCCCGAGACGGCCCCAGAGCCGCCCAAGACGGCGCAAGAGGGTCCCATGAAGACCCCAAGAGGGGCACAAGAGAGGGAACGCGAACTGAAAAATCAAGCTCTGCGCCCCAAGATGCCCCCAAGAGGCCCCAAGAGGCCCCCAGGAAACCCCCAAGAGGCCCCAAGAGGCCCCCAAGATGCTCCAAGAGGACCCCAAGAGGGCCCCAAGACGGCCCAAGAGAGCCCCGAGACGGCCCCAGAGCCGCCCAAGACGGCGCAAGAAGGTTTCAAGAAGGCCCCAAGAGGGGCACGAGAGAGGGAACGCGATCTGAAAAATCAAGCTCTCCGCCCCAAGATGCCCCCAAGAGGCCACAGGCGGCCCCCAGGAAGCCCCCAAGAGGCTCCACGAGCCCCCAAGAGACCGCACGATGCGTTTTAAACTGCCCCAGAGGCCCCCAATATGCCCCAAGAGGCACTTAGGATGCTGCCCAAGAGAGCGCCCGAGAGGGCAAAATCGTTGATTGTCAAACTTTTTTGTTGCATTCTCGCTGTTTCGTGTTTCCGGCGCTAAAGCACCGCCCAAGAGGCTCCCCAAACCGCTCCCAGACGGCCGAAAAGGCTCCCAAGAAGGCCCCAAGACGGCCCAAGAGAGCTCCGAAACGGCCCCAGAGCCACCCAAGACGGCGCAAGAGTGTCCCAAGAATGCACCAAGGCCCAATAGAGGGAACGCAAACTGAAATGTCAAGCCCTCCGCCCCGAGATGCCCCCAAAAGACCCCAAGAGGCCCCCCAGGAAGCCCCCAAGAGAGGCCCCCAAGAGGCCGCACGATGCGTTTTAAACTGCCCCAGAGGCCCCCAAGAGGCCCCCCAAGAGACCTTTAAGATGCCGCCCAAAACAGCGCCCCGAGACGGCGAAATCGTTGATTTCCATTGATTTTTCAAATGTTGTTTGCATTCTCGCTGTTTCATCCGGCCGAACAGGCCCCCAAGAGGGTCCCAAAACGGCCCAAGAGAGTCCCGAGACGGCCCCAGAGCCGCCCAAGACGGCGCAAGAAGGTCCCAAGAAGGCCCCAAGAGGGGCACAAGAGAGGGAACGCGAATTGAAAAATCAAGCTCAGCGCCCCAAGATGCCCCCCAAGAGGCCCCCAGGAAGCCCCCAAGATGCCCAAAGAGGCCCCCAAGATGCCCCAAGAGGGCCCCCAAGAGGGCCCCCAAGGCGGCCCAAGAGAGCCCCGAGACGGCCCCAGAGCCGCCCAAGACGGCGCAAGAAGGTTTCAAGAAGGCCCCAAGAGGGGCACAAGAGAGGGAACGCGAACTGATAAATCAAGCTCTGCGCCCCAAGAGGCGCCCGGGAAGCCCCAAGAGGCCCCCAAGAGGCCCCAAGAGGCCCCCAAGGAACCCAAAAGAGGCTCCAAGAGGCCCCAAGACGCCACCCAAAAGGTTTCAAAACTATTCCAAAGAGGCCCCCGGAGACATGCCAAGAAGGTCCCATGATATTTTCCAGAAGTAGTCCAGGATGCTCCGAGGAGGCCCCAAGAGGTCCCCAAGAGAGCCCAAGAGGCCCCCAAGAGGCCCCCCAAGAGCCCAGCGGCCCAGGCGGGGGCCGAATGAACATTTCCAGCCCTGCGCCCCCATAAGCCCAACAGGAAGCCCGAAGAGTGCGACCCGCAAGAAGAGTGAGAGCAGCCAAAATCACGATCTCGGCCACAAGCTCCAAAGAGCTTCCGTCCGAGTGCGAGGGGCCCCGCCCAAGCGTGTCTCGAGACAGAGCTACGTGGAGTCCTACTGCTACACAGCAGTGGTCTCGTTCCGACAGGGCGCCGTGGCGCCATCTCGGCGAAGGGCCACGCGCACGCGCTACAAGGGATTCGGATGCCTTGACAGGCAACTGTCCGGAGGACGAGCTGTCGCAACGGAGTTCGGGCAGATGAAGTCGTTTCCGACGACGATGGCCATTCCGAGGACGACCATGACGACCGCGACGACGAGGAGGCCGCCAGCTCTTTCGAGGACGTACAACCCGAGCGGCCAGAACCAGGAATCTTGCGGGGCGGATCCAGTAAGCCATTAAGATGATCAGGCAAGTTCAGCGGACATTCAAGCAGGCTCGTCATCTATTGATGCAGAACAAGGTGATTCCGCGCTACTACTATTACCCGACGGGCCAGCAGCCTAGACTTCCATACCGAGGAGGCGGACGGTTATCTTGTTGCCCTTAGAGAGCACCCGAACGTCAACCGCAGACTTTAGATGATGATGTATCGGAAAGATGACGGTACTGACAAGTGCCGCAGCACGTCTTGTGGTTCTCAGATACGCCCCCACGGGAAGTTGGACATAACTCGGAGAGCCCAACACCTTCTAGACGAGCTCGAAACCGATGTCATTGGAAGTGAGCTATGGATGATATGAATTCGACCAAGGGCGATGTCCGAGCAGCCTTCATCTAAGGCGATATAATCGACGCCGGCGGCGTGGTTTTCGTAGACCCCGTCAAGAAACTAGTCGAATCGTTCAAGATGCGTCCTGGCGACGTCCTGCAGTTGAAGCAAGCAGTCTACGGCCTCACGATCCCACCCCGCATGCGTTGGCAGCGAACACGCCGATATTTTCAGCGTCTACGTTGGACACCCCATCGCTACGAACCATGTGTGTGGAGCTTCCGCGAGGACGGGAGAC